AACCATTTAAGGTTTTATACCAGGCAGTCCCATGATCAAATTGGCTTCTTACACAGATGGCTTCAGCAGCAGGGAGGCATGGAAGGAGAGGTAAAGAGGCTGTTAACATAATAATAAGACCCTGAACCTGGGCATTGGTGGCAGGGATGTGTAAGACCAGATTGACAAGGGATTCATCTGAGCTAGAATGGACAACTGAAGGCCTGAGGTGCTGGTGGGTTCTCCAAAGTGTATTCTCTAGCCAGGGGAACCTGGGAGAGATGATATGGCATCAATACATCTGTGCTGAATAAGAATAAATTTCAGGAGGCGCCTGCCTGGGTGGCTCCATCAGTTAAGCGTCTGCCTTTGCCTCAGGTCATGATTCCAGGACCCTGAGATTGAGCCCCACATCAGAGTCCCTGCTCAGAGGGGAGCCGCTTCTCCCTCTGCCTGGTGTTCCCCTGTTTCTGCGCGTGCGCGCGTGCTCTCTCTCTCTCTCTCTCTTTCTCTGTCAAGTAAATAAAATCTTACAAAAAAAGAAAACAAATTTAATCCATAACATGAGTATTCTGAGCCGTGTTCAAACTGTCTCTAAAGCTTGGTCCAAAAGCCACCTCCTGTTTATTTAGTCGTTCTGATTTTGATTTTATATACCAGTTTTTTAAAAACCTCATCCCTGATGTCAACTATTCTTTAATTAAAACAAACAAACGAACAAACAAAACAACACTAGAAAAGCTCATCACTGCATCCTGCAGGTCTTGCTTATTTGAATGTGGTGGTTTCCTTAAGTAATGCTCAAAGACACAATTATTAAATTGCTATATATTTTAAAACTTGTGCTCATAATCCTTGCAATGATGACTTAATCTGTTTTCAGTTTTTTTGCTTGCTTTTTTGACTGATTCCATCAGAGCACATCAGTGGGCATCCAAAACTAGGACCAGTTGCAGTGACTTCAAGCTAATGTGTCTGCCCCATATCTGCTTTGGTGTTCAGACTGACTGAGCATACCCCCTAAAGTTAGACACTTTGTAAGAACTTGACTGTAAGGTGGTATCCACTTCTGTGAGGAAGAGTTTTAGGAAAAACCTAGCTTTGTGTTGAGGTCAATACCTATAATTTTGGTGAAAAATGTTTTATATTAATTTGTGCTTATGAACTTCTAAATTAAACTTTGGGGAAAAACCGATTATACAGATGTAACAAAGTTTTAGTTGAAATTCTAAGGACAGTAGTCCAATTTTCAGTGAAAAAATTATGTAAGATGAGCAAGAAGTATTTAACATGAGAGTTTAGTTAATTTAAAATCAATTTAAGATTTTGTTGCCTGTTGGCTTTTTTTCCTATTCACTGGTCTCCAAAATGACATTAAGATTTATTCTTGATTAAAAAAAATGATATTAAGACTTTTAAAAATGAGACTATATTAATATAATTGTTTTATGAGATCATTACTTCATTGACCTTGGCATTTCTTTGTGTCCTCTCGGTCTTAATTTTACTCTCTCAAGTATCAACTTGGTTTTTTTTTTCTTTTTAAAGATTTTATTTCTTCATTAGAGACATAGAGAGAGGCAGAGACATAGGCAGAGGGGGAAGCAGGCTCCATGTAGGGAGCGCAATGTGGGACTTGATCCTGGGACTCCAGGATCACGCCCTGAGCCAAAGGCAGACGCTTAACCACTGAGCCACCCAGGTGTCCCAGTATCTACTTGTTTTAAGTAAAGCACTCTTCTCAAAACGTAGTAGTAGGATATAAAAGCATAACATGTATACCTTCTGCCTCTGTAATTCATTTAATGAGTATTTATTAGATATACGAGTAATCACCACGTGTTAGATGTTATGGTACATGCTGCTCTTGACACATGAAACTACACATGTGGTTTTTGTGGCAGATATTGAGGTAGCTGGTGTATAGCCCTTTTTAAATTTTATTCTGTGTAAATTATGTTTACTTTCTTTGGCAGAATAATGAGAAACAAATGAGGCAGCTATCTGTTATCCCACCTATGATGTTTGATGCAGAACAGAGACGGGTCAAGTTCATCAACATGAATGGGCTCATGGAGGACCCTATGAAGGTTTATAAAGATAGGCAGTTTATGAATGTTTGGACTGACCACGAGAAGGAGATCTTTAAGGACAAGTAATTTAAACTTTAAATTATTTTCTAATAGAAGCTTACATAAATTTGTGAAAAGTATTTCACTTGTAAATTGAATGATTTCCCCAAAAACTTGGCCCCCTTTTGGCATTTGAATGGATACTCTATTAAGTAGAGATTATAAATTTGCTTTGATCTTCCCATAAGTTTATAGATGGGAGCACAGGTCACAGATGAGAACTGGGGTTATGAAGTCATGTTGAACGTGGCACCCAAACTTGGGTGGTGTCTGAGTTACCTGGGGGTGTGTTTTAAAAATACAGAGTTCTGTGCTCTACCATAGACCAATCCCATCAGTTTCTGGTGGATGGTGTCCAGGAACTTGTGCCCTTAACTTTAGCCATTTTGCAGTTGTCCCTCTTGTTGGCAGTTAGGGATCACTGAGAAGTAGTCTGTACTAATAGTTCTGTCCCCAAGAGGTCCCCTTGCTCCACTTTTTAAGTTGTTAAAATGTTTGTGTGTATGTGTTTGTTTTGTTTTTCTTCTTTTTTTACTCAGGTTTATCCAGCATCCCAAAAACTTTGGACTAATTGCATCCTACTTGGAAAGGAAGGTAAGACATGATTTGCATTGAGAATGTTTATAGCTTTGTGATGTTTGCTACTTTGAAGTTTTTGTGCTCTGATACACAGAAGTACTTAAATAGAACTGATTTTTGTAGAGGGCTTAATACAGAAAAGACTTTCAGTTGACACTATAGTGATAATTATGTAACAGATAATAAGCACAGAGTATAGTCTAATTTTCATGGTTAACAAAAAAACGCCTGATACCCTATTTCCCTAAAAAGTATACATTTTTTTTTTTAAACCCTTACTTTGTTTTTTGAACCTTTCTAAACTTTTGGTTAAAATATCAGAGTCCTGATTTTCCCTGAGTTTTTTTCCACAATAGATTGGATATAGTGTTTTTGAGCAAAATATTTAAAGAGAGATGTTTTGAATATTTACATATATGTAACAAGAAAGAGAATTTAGTTATTGCTTAATAAGGAAGTGCTTGAATGTTTCTGATAGTTCCTGCTGTCTTGTACATAATTTGAATTAAGACCACTGTAATTGTCCATTAAAATAGTAGGTATAATGTATATATTTTTAGAGCCTAGATATGTATTAAAATGCCAGTCCTGTGTTTCTCTTTAATTTATACCTTGAAAATACCAGATATTTGAAAGTGTTACTTGATTTTTTAAAAATGTTATTCTTTGGCTCCTCAAAAATATTTTATTTCCCTTATAGAGTGTTCCTGATTGTGTTTTGTATTACTACTTAACCAAGAAAAATGAGAATTATAAAGCCCTAGTAAGAAGGAATTATGGAAAACGCAGAGGAAGAAACCAGGTATGTTTCATTACTGTGTGGAAGATGTGTCAGGGTTGGAGATGGGGGGGGGGGAAATGGAATAACTGGGGCCTTGTACTTAATCATGTGTATTTTAGGGATTGACATTTCATTAAATAATGAGGATGTTATGAACATGTTATTATTTTGAAATTAATATATATTTGATGTGTGACATCTATTGTTAATAGATGTAAGTTTCTACTATGATAAAATCAATAAGAAACGTTTTACACTTCCATGTTATCTATATTGTGTATGTTGGTGTTAACCGTGATTAATATAAAGGGTAGGACCCATGACACCTCATTCCACATGTTGTCTTTACCAGTCCTTTTGACTGAGGAGGGGGTGCAGGTAGAATACGGGAGAAATGCAGAGAAATGTAGCATAGTAAGAGCGTAAAGGCTAGTTTGCCAAAAGACTTGGGGGCCCGATTTTGTTTCAGATTAACTTTATTTCTTGAGTTTAGATAGTTTATTCTGAAAAAGCACCTGATCTTGAAAGACAGTTTCTAGTACAATGCAGCGTACGTTTTCACAGTTGTTTTCCCCCAAATAACTGATCAGCAGCTGTCACAGCCCATGTGTGCTTCATCAGTATGGCTTCTGGGACAGTGTGATTGCTGCTGCTCTCTGCGCCCAGATCCATTTTGGGATCTGGGATCGCATGCATGAACTTGCACAGCTGCTGACTGCTGATCAGCCTTCCTAAATCTTTCTTGGTTTCTCCCCACAGCCGCCCTGTCTTTCCTTAGCCACCCTGCTCACCAGGTACAGGGTGACACAGACTCTCATTATTGGTAGCCATAACCTGTTTGTGTTTTCTGGGTCATTGTTTCCTACAGAATACTACTACCTCACAGGATGTGATTATGTATTCTGTGGAAACAGTATTTCTTGGTCAGAAAAAGTACAGGGAGTGTTTCATGAGCCAGCTGCATGAAATGCTGCTAGAGGTTGAGTGTGCTGAGGTGCCCTTGGCATGTATTTTCAGTGGATTGGTTAGGGGGCCAGAAATAAGATTGTAGTGACCTAAAGGGGATGTGGGAGGTGAGGGAGTGGCAGTGGTACAGGTGTGCCCTCTGTTGTAAGTTTTGCGTATGAAGGGGAACAGAGAAATGGGGAGAGGGCTGATGAAGATCAAGAGGGAGGAAAAGAGCAAGCTTGTACCCTCACTGATGGGACTGATACTGTAGACATAAAGAGAGGGATGCTTGTGGAGCTCCACGAATAGTTCCTACCTGACGGGGAGCAAATCAGAGTTCATCAGTGAGGCGGGAAACACTGTTTCACTAAAGGTGCCAGGGCTTCCCACGGAGTAAGTGGAATTGAACTCTTTTATCTAGTGATGTTAGAGCCCATCTTGTGTTTTAAACAAGTTTCAGCTACAAATTTTTAACAATAGCTTTGTTCTGTTACTACCAACTAGTATTTATAACTTTAATTGAACTTAATTTTTAGAAATTACATATTTTATATTTAAATTATTTAAAAATTTTCAATCCCAGCTTTGTGCAGTGGCAGTATCATAGCCAATGAGGTTTATCTGAGGCGCGATTATTGCTAATTGAAACTTAAAATTTTTCAATCCCAGATAATGTAAGGGAATAATTTGATATGTATTATATCTTATATTTGCAGGATTAGCAGTCTGTTGGCTTATGATAACAGAGGAGAAAGCTCTAGCAGGAAATTCAGTGCGACAGGGAATGTCTCTGTTACTCTGAAACATTTGTTTTCTATCCTAAAGTTGTCTGGGATGCCATCTCACTGCTCTCCGTGGCATGCTTGTTAAGTTCCAGCCATATTAGAGCCACATTAGAGTTTTCTTCTGTACATTCTTTTTTTTTTTTTTTTTTAAGATTTTATTTATTTATTTATGAGAGACCCACAGAGAGAGGCGGAGAGAGAAGCAGGCTCCTGCAGGGAGCCCGATGTAGGACTCGATCCCGGGACTCTGGGATCATGCCCTGAGCCGAAGGCAGATGCTCTAACTGCTGAGCTACCCAGGTTTCCCTCTTCTGTACTTCTTTCTTATTCAGTGCTTTTACACTACTCTAGCACGACCCAGAATCCATTTACAGAACTGAAATTTTCCATGTGTGCCCTCACCTTGACCTGAACCATAGTTTAGTATATTTGCCCTCAGGTTGGCTCAGTTTTGGGTTGGTCAGCCTTGCCATCAGTCTTGTCCTGCCCTAATTGGCTTTTAAGTTTTTACCTTGATGATTTTTCCTCAAAAATCAGAGTTTTATATTTCTCTGGTTGTTTCACTGGGAGTTTAAGAGAGGATGGGGTCAGGACGCCTGGGTCAGTTGAGCGTCTGCCTTTGGCCTAGAGCGTAATCCCGGGGTCCTGGGATCAAGTCCCACAGCAGGCTCCCCACAGGGAGCCTGCTTCTCCCTCTGCCTGTGTCTCTGCTGCTCTCTCTGTGTCTCTCATGAAAATAAATAAATAAAACCTTAAAAAAAAAAAAAAGGAGGGGTTGAATGTGGAAATACAGCACCATCCTTGACCAGAAGAATCTTACCTCTGTTTCTTCATTGCTTGTGTACTTCATTCTGTTTGTGTCAAAATAGGTGGACAGGTTTTCTGAAATTGGGTGGTGTTAGTTTAAGGTCTGGCTTTTATAGAACTGAATAACATTGGATCTGATACCAAATCAGAGGAGAAGCCATTAGACTCTGAGCAGAAGAGTAGTGTCAGATTTTGTTTGTGACAGAATCTTTCAGGCTGCCTGCTCGGTTGAGGCTAGGTTGTAAGGGAGGCCAGTTAGCATGTTAGGTTAATCCTCCCAGTAGCTTGGACTAGACTCTACTAGGGAACATGGGGAGAACTGGTCCGTTTCTGGGTGTATTTTTGAAGGTAAGTTAAACGGGTTATGCTGATGGATTGATTGTGGGGACTCAATGCCAGTTACCAAAGATAACCCAAGTTTTAGCTAGTGGGGTTGCCATTTACTGTGTAGGCATGACTGAAGGAGTGGCAGGTCGGGGGGACAAATTGGGACATGCTGAGTTTCAGATACATATTAGATGTCCAAGTGGAGTTGTAAAGGGGACAGTTAGATGTAGAAATCTGGAGTTTAGGAAACCGATCTGGGTTGGGAATGTAGAATTTGCTGTAGAGAAAAAAGTTTAGAAAGAGATTTTTTTTTTTAAAGGATGTTATTTATTTATTCATGAGAGATACACAGAAAGAAGCAGAGACACAGACAGAGAGAGGGAGAAGCAGGCTCCATGCAGGGAGCCCAGTGTGGAAATTTCTCAGTCCCGGAACTCCAGTATCACGCCCTGGGCTGAAGGCAGGCTCTAAACTGCTGAGCCACCCAGGGATCCCCGAGATTTTTTTTTTTTTTTTTTTTAAGAATCTCATTATAGGGGATCCCTGGGTGGCGCAGCGGTTTGGCGCCTGCCTTTGGCCCAGGGCGCGATCCTGGAGACCCGGGATCGAATCCCACATCGGGCTCCCGGTGCATGGAGCCTGCTTCTCCCTCTGCCTGTGTCTCTGCCTCTCTCTCTTTCTCTCTGTGACTATCATAAATAAATAAATAAAAAATTAAAAAAAAAAAAAAGAATCTCATTATAAGTGAAGAATTTTTAAATTGGTGTGACTTGATTTTGCCCTGGTAGATAATAGAGCTCCAACTAATTTGAAAATCACTTTACTGCTCTATTATCCAATCAAGTTTGAATTAGTAGGAATTACTTGAGATAATCCCAGAGCGATTAGGGCAAATTTATTTCAAGACTCTGTATAGTTCTGCTTAAGTTAATGCCTGATCGTTTCTTGCCTTACCCATCCTCCCCTCTCAACCTCTTACCCAAAGGAGGTCATCATGATTCAGTATGTGAATGTATAGTGTGCTATTTGCTGAGAGAGATTCCAAGCTTGCGAGGTTTGATTATTATTTTTTTTAATATTTTATTTATTCCTTGGAGAGAGAGAGAGAGAACACAAGCAGGGAGGAGTGGCAGGGGGAGAGAGAGAAGCAAACTCTGCTGAGCAGGGAGCCCAATATGGGGCTGGATCCCAGGACCCTGAGATCATGACCTGAGTCGAAGGCAGCCACCCAACCAACTAAACCAACCAGGCTCGGGATCCCTGGGTGGCGCAGCGGTTTGGCGCCTGCCTTTGGCCCAGGGCGTGATCCTGGAGACCCCGGATCGAATCCCGCGTCGGGCTCCCGGTGCATGGAGCCTGCTTCTCCCTCTGCCTGTGTCTCTGCCTCTCTCTCTCTCTCTCTCTCTCTCTCTCTCTCTATCATAAATAAATAAATAAAAATTAAAAAAAAAATAAATCAGCCAGGCTCCTCTGTGAGATTTGATTTTTGACCTGCTATTGCTTCAGGGAACCTTGCATATTATTTCCTCTGAAAAGGAGTTTAATCTTAGAATCATAGGGAAATGAGACAGATAATCATTTTTGTTAGACTTGTGTTCAGAGATTATTGTTGGCAAAAGTTTTCATTCACAATTCTGTTAGCTATTGCTGAAACCATTTCACAGTTCAACTTACTAGCATCCTGTGATGAGAGTGAGTGTGGTTCTTTATAAGTCTTAGTTGAAGCAATGAATACATAGCAGAGATTAGAAGCCAAAAGCCAGTCCTTGTGTTACTATTTGGGATCTAGAATTATAAATAACATGCCAAGTAGTAATTTGATTCTCTGTGTAACATTTTGTTAGAGGTAAGAATTTCTTTTTTACCTTTCAGCATAAATTCCCATCTAATAAAATCTGCCACTATGCACCTAGAATTACTGTGGTACCTGCTAGTGACCTACAATAAAGCAAGTCATGGTTTAGAAGCCACATGCTTCATTTCCAAATACTTGATTACCTTTCACAAGAATTTGTATTCTTCCTTCATTCTGTCATATGTCCTCTTTAAATATGTCAGCGCTAGGACACCTGGGTTGCTCAACAGTTGAGTGTCTGCCTTTGGCTCAGGGCATGATCCTCCCGAAGTTCCGGGACTGAGTCCCACATCGGGCTCCCAGCATGGAGCCTGCTTCTCCCTCTGCCTACGTCTCTGCCTTTTTGTGTGTCTCCCATGAATGAATAAATTAAATCTTTTTAAAAATAATAAATAAGTAAAAAATATGTCAACGTGTTCTTATTCCCCAAAGGTATTGAGAAAGCATGTATTTATGTAAATGTAGTAGTTTGAAGCTGGGAGAGTTTCTGACTGAACTGTCAGACAATAGACTATTTTAGACAGACTTAAAAGGTTGAATAGAATGGAAAGAGCTTTAGACCCAAAAACGCTCCGCCCTTTTGTATCCTTGTTACCCTAGATGTGTCTTTTCACTTGCGGAGCCTTGGTTTCTATATCTGTGAGCATGGAAGCAGTAATACTTTCCTTGCAGGGTTAACTTGACAACTTGTTCTGTATGTGAAGTCCCTAGAGTGTCGCATCAAGGACAGGGAGTGCCCAATAAACGGTAGCAACTCTTGCCTTTGTTGCCTTCCTCACGGTGTGCTATGGGGATTTGACAGCTTTTACTCTTCAGGAAAGTAGTCTCAAATTCAGTTGGTGTAAAGGCATTAGTTTTTAAGTATATTTTGGTAAGATATTTTCTGTTTACTGCCTGAGATACTTAACTCAGTGGCTAAAGTAGGACTTCATTCATTTTGTCTCTTGTATGTTTTTAGTTCACTAGACGTAGTCTAAATGTAGTTCTAATGTAGTCATTTCATTTCTTGGCAACTTCATCGTCTACTGAGTAGGAATTCGTTTATCTGTTTTCTGAAGACTCGAGCATGTTAACAAATACACATAGAGTGCATATAAGTGTTAGATACTCAGACATAGAAATAGATCTCAGCATAAACTGTCTTTTGATCTTGCTATAGAGGACTCTGTTGAAATTTCTTGTTCTTCATTTATCATTATGCACTTCATTTATCAGTACATAAAGCGTTTCAGTTTTTTCATTTGGATTTTTATTTTGCTTTATAATGTACTCATATTTATAGTGCATAGTTTGTTGTTTGACAGACTTGTTTCATGCTATGAGATCCTCCCTAACTGAAACTTTTTTTAATTGACTATGAACTGTTAGGCTTAAGGAGGAAAAAACTTGGACAGGAAGCTGCTGGGATGTCTCTATTAGGGGACCTTTGGATGAATTTCCTTTTGAAACTGTGGACTTTTGAAACTGTGAACTTCTCCAGCCAACCTGCTGAAGGGTTTGAGGGATGTAACTTGTTGACTATGGGGATCAGCACACCTCATTACAGATTTGCCTGAAACAAAAGCAGTTGCGATCACTTCTTGTCAAAATCCAGTTATTCCTTACACTCTAATGTCAGTAGCAGTCATTACAGTGGGTCTCAATGCATGTCACCCAAAGGTGAATGCTGGTTGCACACTCTGCCCTGCCTGGCTCTCCCTCTATATCCACTACTGCGAGCTAATGTGGATACTGCTTCGACAGAGGTTCTGCTCCATAGGTGTCACACTCTTCTAGTGTGACATTTAGCAACTACATCAGTTTCTCTGGATCATGTCCACACCCTCTGCAGAATTGGCGATTATGCATCAAGAGCGATCCTGCCCTCATCTTGCCATTGCCTGGTTGAAGCAGGTGCTACCTTGCTTCCCAGTCCCGAGCACTATGAAAGGGAGAGCAGAGTCAACTGTTGA